ACACAAACTGAGAAAATCTACATGAAATGCTTACTGAAGAGATGCCTAGTTAGCTCTGCAGTAAAGTCTCGATGTCTACATGTGCAGCCTTATTAGGCTGCAGGAAACTAATTAACTCTGCTGCAGGTTAGTACTCATATATACAAGTACTATCCTGCTACAGAGTTCTTTACTGTGCAGCAACTCATATGTAAGTGCTGACAGGGTTGGCTGGGACATGAAGGTGCTTCAGTGTGGGGCTGCCTGCTGGCTAGCCCTGCACTGGAGCACCCTTGTGATGCAGCCAGCTCCTCTGCAGCACACTGAGCAGAGGTGCAGCAGCCCCAGGCTGACCCTTCAGCCTACTGCAAACCAGACCCAGCTCCAACCCAGCTAACATGCTGCGGTGTGGGGCACATGTGGAGTTCCAGCTCCCGAGAGCAATAAACTCCAGTGTGATATGCACCCGTTTATTGTTTTGCATTAACTGCACATGTAGATGCACTCACTGTTACTCAGTAGTTAAGCAGCCTATGGTTGTTTGGGGTGGTATTGCCTAAAGATTTTCATTTCACATTGGTTTTATAGCAACGATTTGAATGTATGAGCTTCTTTATCATAAAAGTATATTATTACATTTTATCATTAGTAAAAATTAGTTTTATATATTTATCATGTTTTTATTTAAAATGTTTAAAATAAGCAGCATGGCTTGAACTGTAACACATTGTCATGATTAAGAAATCTAGGCAATGAAATCTTCATCTGAAGTCTTTTACAGAATGCTTTAGATAGCTTAAATTTGTTACAAAATTTCTTAAATCAATTGAAATAATTCATTATCTTTTACCTAGTAAAACTCCTACCTTATTCTGGCTTAAACTACTGCTTCTCTATCATGACATTATGAGAATGAACTATGTAAAACAGAAGATAAACAATAAATTGTGAAATAACTTAACAATTGTTTGTGCATGAGCCTAGATAATTGTGTGTTATAATTAATTCAACTTTCATCTCCTCTTGCTGAAATTCAGTAATATCACTAGGTTTAGGCCTAATCTGGAACACACTACAGCAAGTTACATAGGATGCAACTATGTTACAGAAGAATGCTAAAAGTTTTCTGTCTTCCCCAAATCTGCCTTTGCATGTGCTGCCTCTTTAGTTGAAGTCTAAGGAGAATAGATGGACCTCCTGAAAAAGGGTGAAAGCCAGGACACTGCCAGGGCAGTGATGGGATGATGGTTATATGTTGTGGTCTCCTACTTCAAAAGAACACGTTTAAATATTTATCTCTCATGGTAAGCCCCAAAAATGACAGATACCCTCAAGTTTTCCTCTTTAACTCAGTAATGCAATACAATCGGTAACAACACAATCAACCAACCAAATAGCAAATATCATATTTTCTTACCATATTAAGATACATTTGTATGCCATATTTCATACTTTGTGACATTCATGTAAAGATGTACAAGATACTGGAGAGTCTTTACCTTTCTCTATTCGCCTTACATTGAGCATAAAAAGGTTTCTTTGGAAGACAAATGTTAGCTACATATCAAAGTATGTAATGACGTTCGTTACTCATACTCAAAGTGAATTTTATCTGCCTTTATGATGTTCATAGAGTACAGATTAAAATATTTCTGCACATGCACCAAGTGTGATTTTGTAAAGTATTGTATGTGGTCAAATCAGAATTCATTTTCACTGAAGCACACGGTAGCTTCTTCAGTAAGCCATTTCCTTCCCTAATGTCACTTAAACTTTATCATTCCTAGTCATCAGTCCCTTGTCAAGTTTTATTCATTCCTTTGGCATTAGAGCTATTCAAAAGACACTGCATGATTTTTTTTTTAAAGAGGAAACAATATTTTACAGCACCTTACCCATTCTCCCAATTCAAAACCCATTCAAATACAGCTTCCTTGACCCCAAATAATCCCCACATTACTCCTGGACAGAGACCATTATTTGGAAGTTTTGAAAACTGAGAAGAGAGTATTTCTTTACTAAAGTTCAATCCTGCAAAGGGATTCATTGGAGAGATTGTTGTTCTTGTGAGGAATCATGTTGATGTCTGTTGGACTCTAAACAAGCATAAAGCTTCACTGATTTTTTCTTCAGAATATGGACTAGTTACTGCTTTTTTTTAAAAACAGGACTGATGCACTTTCCAAACTGTGCAGCATTGTAGCACTTGAAATAAACATAAGGAGTCCATTAGCTGATAACTCCTGTCCTTCAGTTTCTAAGCTGCTTTTCTCCAGGTGGCCCTGTTACAGGAATAAGACATTATGATAGCATGAGTTATATTTTTGTTAAAGGGGAAAAGGCTCGTAGGTGTAAGGTCTTGGTTTTCTGCTCAGGGCTGTACCTCTCACCAGTTTTGAAGTCAGGAAGAAATCTTTCTTCTGAGTCAAACTAGTACAAATCAGTCTGGTTTTTACCTTCCTTTGTAGTGTGAGGTTAATCCTTTTGCTACAGTTTTCTGAGCCATTGCAGAGTCCAGGCACTGGAAGTGATCTTTTACTTGTGGTATGTTAGTGTTCTTAGTGTTTTCCAAACTGTGCCTTGCTGCTGCGTGTGATAGTAAGAAGTGGTAATTTTGGCAATTTCTTGGGATAGCTTGCAAATGAGAGACTCACTCACTTGCCTGAGGTAGGTTATCTTCCAGTCTTTTGTTCCTAAAATATTTCACACTTTATTTTTATTGTAGGCTTGGTCAAATAACCACAGGGTTAGGTGTACAACTAAAGTAGTGCTTCTCTACAAGCCTGATGGTCATTTTACCTAAGTTAAGGTAGGAGAGGATTGGGGATAAAATGACCATAAAGTTGATTAAACCCAATTGAAAGAGCTTTTCTATTATGGCCAACACTGTTTTTGAGGATGCGAGACATAATCACCAAATAGGATTACTACAAGTAGGGAGACAGGCTAAGTATTGCAGATACCTGCACCAGCCCTGATGGTGTTTTGAAAAGCAACATATGGAGCATTGCTGTTTCCACATACTGTTACTGAGGCTTAAACTCTAAACTCCTGTTAAAATATGAAGAAAGTCAGGAAGACAAAATTAAGGTTGCTATCATTCTTGGAATACATAATTTAGCATCTTAGCATAGTGCTAAAAACATGCTGTAGGCAAAGCTATTCAAAAAAAATATAGTATAATCCTTGAACTTTAAATCTTAAACTTTTATTAAATTTGGTACAAGCTAATAGCACAATAGAATTATTATACCATAGTGCTTGGGTAATACTTGCAACTAAGAAAATTGCTACAAGAATGGATAGTTGTAGTGATATTGAAGCCATGATAGTCCAAGAAATATGTAAGACAATGATTTTGCTGAGTGATATCTTTTATTGGATCAACTGAATGGGTGGAATAAACTAGATAAGCTTTTGAATGCAATACATTCTTCTTCAGGACATGGTTGTAAGTTTGGGGCTTATCAGGACTTGAGGCCATATATGCAACAGATTTATCCTGCCACCCCTTTGGATGTTTGATCAACTTGTAACAGCCTTCACTTTAAAATACTGAATTCAACCTAGTAGACTTAATATTCTATGAACCTTGTCTGGACTAGACAGCACAATTTTTTTTTAAGTGTGTTAAGATTTCGAGTGTTTCATCCAAGTCTCATTAGCATCCAAAGCTAGTATTCAGACAAGTTGTTAGACAGCTTTTCCCCTTAAAGGTTAGAACAGTAGTTCTCAACCTTTTTAGTCAAAAGGCACACCTTGGTAGACTCCAGGTACCTCTCAGAAAATGCCAGCTCTCTGTTTTGACTACAGAGAAGCAATAAAACAAATCTTCTCTTGCAAAAAATCTCAGACCGCAAGTCAGTGGGTTTTAAAAACTATTCGTTCCTATTTTTAATGTCCGAGTTTATCTTGTGAATTGTATTTGCACACTTAACAGTGCTAATATTGTGATGCATCCTGCAGTAAAGGATTTCAAGGCACCCCAGGGTGCCATGGTACCCTGATTGAGAATCACTGGGTTAGAATGTCTAGAAATGATGAGCAAGAACATTCCTCCAGTTAGCTACTGCTATGTCCGTCTGTCTTTATAACCTGCTGTATATCCTACTGACCTTTTACCATCCGCCCTGCTTTCTTGCTGGATGGACAAGTACCTTCTATTTCTCAGAGTTGTGGGACTCTTCTTCCCACCAGCTTTTTTGACATTTTAAATAAAAATGTCAGTATTCTGAAGTGTCAGCAGTGCCTGTTAATTAGCTAAGACCTTGTTGATCAGGCAGATTAAACTCCAAATGAGAAGAGATATCCTTTTTAAAGCTGCTACAGATGGGCAAGGATAAGGAGATTCAACATACACCTTTCTGATATGAAGTCATTCACAAAGCCTCCTGGCAGTTCAACAGGAAAAAAATTGTAACCGCCTTTATCACATTTTTTAAAAGTCAGTTTTACATTTCAAACAAATTAACCTCTTAGTTAACATTTTTTTCTGCATTGCAAGACCCAAACCTGGCTCTCCTCAGTAACCCAGCTGGGACAGCTTAGGGCTCCAATCCACCCCTAACCCCCTCCAGCTCAGACCAGGCAAAGCCCAATGGACAGCTTGAGGCTGCTGGCTTCCCCCTCCCATCTCCTCCGTCCCTCCCTGCTCACAGTCACAGGGGCAGGACTAGACTGCATCAGCCCATCCCTGAACATATGAAAAAATAAATCCTAGGGAACACAGGTTCCCTAAGGCACTATAGAGCAGAGCATCTTCATCTGATCTCTTATTTGAGGGCTAATTTTTTGTGTGATGAGACACTAGCACATGCCATAGTATGCAGTTCACCCGCATTTTCTGAACTGACTCCAGGAAACAGGCATATTTTAGGTGATAACTGAGCAGATATTACAGTTAGTGATCTGATATAATAGATAACCTAGTTGAATGTTACAGAAACATCTACTAGAAAGAAACATCAGACTGATTACTGAAGTACATAATCAGGTAATGCTCACAAAGCAAGCCACACAGGTTTAATATAGTAGTTTTGTATATTTTTAATATACTGACATATAAAAACAGCAATTCTGGTTCACTGGAAATAGCTTCTTCAATTTTACCATAAAAATGCAAGCCAACCTGTTCTTTCACTGTAAAGTTACAACTTTTTTTAATATACCTGAGCTGCATGTGCAGAAGCAAAATATTATAAAAAGTTATTTAATAAGGTATATTGCAGCCTTGAATATGAACATTGCAAGTAAAAATAATTTAGCAAGAAGGCCCCTTTTGAAAAAAAACAACATCTAACCACATATATACTTGAAACAAGTCTTTAATTGGTTTGAAACTACTCTGAATAATTAAGAAGTTAAACACTTTAAAGAAGAAAACAGCTTTCTGACCATTTTTCCAATGACTACTATTTCCTAGTATCCTAGAAGCGTAATAGTGAACCTACTTGAAATGGAAAGAAGCTTTGAAATATATCAATGGCATTACATGCCACAGTCATTCGGGTCCTGCAGCTTTACAGCAAGTATACAAATCTCAATGAAAAATGGAAGCATTACAGCACAAATTTAAAAGGTATTTTGTAAAACTTTAGGGTTACTTCTAGCAAGTATACAAAAATATTGCCCCTGGCTCAATTAGCAAACGTTTTGCTTTGTTATGTCCGGTTTCATTACATTTACAAGAAAATGTTTAATCAAATATTTTGAATATAGTAACTTCCTAAACCTGGAATTCCTAATAGCTGGCACTTACATATTTCTCTTAAACCAGAAGACGTGATGCAGATTTTGAAACCTAAGTGATCCAATGAGAAGATTTAGAAAACTGGAAGTGAATGAAAACATAGTTAGGTTGACTATCAAAACCATTGAAACTCAAGCGCAAGTGGTTATACCTTCATTATTGTGGTAATTTAAAAAAAACAAAACAAAACAAAACACAACAAAACAAAAACAAAAACAAAAACAAAAAAAAGACAACAGATCACAAAGAAACACCAACAAAATGTTATCTGTATCTTGGTTCCATGAACTACAATTCAAGTTAGATATTCACCAGTATCTGAAAGTTTTTTATTTTTTTCCTTCCATAGTAGTCACACATAGGACTTTCTGGTCCTAATCTGTCCTGTAACAGCCTTTAGAAAAGGCTATACCCTCTACTACCTGCTCCAAGTACTTCTTTGTTTGCTCAGTGATCTCTTTCGGTGTCTTCGTTTCTTGCTGAGGCTTTTGCGACTGTGACTTCTCTCTTCAACACGTTTACTCTCACTACTGAAGGCCCTCTTATAACGGGTAGGATCTGGGCTTATACTTCTTCGGTGAGGGCTGTAACTTTTACTAGAGTGTTTATGGAGTCTTCTTTCTTTACTGGATTTTTCATCCTGATTACTTAAGTCTCTTCTGGTTTTGCTCCTCTCTCTTTTGTCCTTACCATCATCTGTTTTTGTGTCAATATTCCCCCTACTTGGCTCTCTGTTACACTTTCCTTGTTCACAGTGCAGGCCCTTCCTGCAAATATTTTGGTCTTGGCTTGGTATACTCTTGTGTTGCTGGTTATTAGAAGGAATACAAGAAAGTACACTTGAACTTTTCTTATCAGAACAGCTTTCAGTATTAATGAAATTAAGTTTTTTGCTTTCCCTGACAAGAGCTTCACTGTGAAGATTTCCATTTAAATACTTGGATTGAGAGTTCACACTTTCATGGGATACTACTTCCCTCTGACAGACCTGAGTTAGGTTACATGCAACAGACTGTCCCGAGGTAGATGTTATACAGCTGGATGACAGAGTTTGGGGAACCCCACCCAATGCAGTTTTCAAAAAGCCAGACTGAGATACCTTTGTTTCCTCCTTGTTCTGTTGTAACTCATCCATTTTTTTGCTCAGTAGATTATTTAATAGCTTCTGCCTTAGTTCCTTTTCTTTCCTCTGGAGTCCTAGTGCTCTTTCTTTTTCTTCCTCTACACGTCTAAGTTCAGCCTCTTGCAGTCTTCGCCTCTCCTCCAACTGTTGAAGACGGAGTTTTTCTTCATTGTGTTCTTGCTCTAGAAGCTTTACTGCCTAAAAGACACCAAAGGGCAGGAAGAAAATTGATTGGAAAGTTCACAAATGTGCTCACCTCTCCAAGATGCACTACACTTATTTGACAACAATAAGTTAGTAAAACAGACTGTTTTCTGGACAAAGGCTGGCTGCCAGGATGAAAGCTATTTAAAAATGGGTTTATAGAACTATGCAGTAAAAGCACTGTTTCAGAAATAAAACTGGAAAAATAAAAATCAACCAAGTTAGTTGCCAAATAGGTAATAAGATTTGATGCTTTTCATCTCTAGATTAAAGAGAGGGGTCAAAGAATGTCTTTCATTAAGTGGAGATCAGACAAATGTTTTCTGGGGAAGTTCAGATTAGGTTTCTTCTTAAGGGTCATCCCCAGAAGCATAGCAACAAAGGATGGGCGAGTGGACCATGAGCTCCAAGCACAAAGAAGTGTGGGAAAAGTCACCAAAATGGAGCCTTAGTCTCCCATCTCTTCTCTCACCACCACCTTTCCATGAAGTATTTCCAGTGCCAGCAGTGGGGAGGGCAGAGCAGCAGCAATGGGTCTATACCGCACAGGGACAGTGTCCAGCAGAAACAGTGTTGCAAGGCAGGGGGCGGAGTGTCAAGGAGGGTTAATCCTCTTGCCTTTTTTGCCACTGAAAATTTGTTTTTAAATGACTACTGGTTACATGTTGGTGGCAAAATAAGGAGGTGACCCTTCACAGCAGCAAAACCCTGACCACTGCCCTTGCAACTTGCAGCATCAGCGCCCAGGGCACAGAAGTGGCCTGTTACATTACTGTTCATGCCAGATGTATTTTTCTAGGATTAAACTCTAACTGAGTGGGGATCAAGAGCACAACATGAAACACCAAGGTGATGCATACACTGCAACCTGATGGATGAAATAGAATGCTGTGGTAGTATGTTAACAATTCACACGTTCCAGTGCAAGTTCATAGTATCATAGTGCTTAGGGTTGGAAGGGACCTAAACAAATCATCAGGTCCGACCCCCTGTTCCGGGCAGGAACGGGTGCCGGGGTCATGTCACCCATCAAATATCTGTCCAGCCTCCTCTTGAAGACCCCCAAGGTAGGAGAGAGTACCACTTCACTTGAGAGCCCATTGCAGAGCCCGGCAGCCCTAATTGAAAGGTAATGTCTCCTGATGTCCAGCCCAAACCTTCTCTCTAACAATTTGTGGCCATTATTCCTAGTAACCCCAGGTGTTGCCTGGAGGAACAGAGCCTCCCCCTAGTTCTCGTTGGTCCCCCCTGGAGAGTCTGTAAATGGCCACCAGATCACCTCTCAGCCTTGTCTTGTGGAGGCTAAATAGGTTCAGGCCCTTTAGCCTCTCTTCGTAGGGCCTGCCTCATGCGAATGGCCCTCCTCTGGACCTTCTCAATGCTAGCCACATCCCTCTTGAAGTGCAGTGCCCAGAACTGGACACAGTACTCCAACTGTGGCCTGACTAACACTGCACAGGAGGGAAGGATCACCTTCCTGGTCCTGTTTGTGATGCATCTATAGATGCATGACAAGGTGCGGTTAGCCTTACTAACCGCTTCCTTGCATTGGCAGCTCATGTTCATCCTAGAGTCAACAATAACTCCAAGATCCCTTTCTGCCACCATGGTGACAAGAAGGGTGTTCCCCAGCCTACTGAATTTCTGATATGATGGAAACAAGAAATAAAGTTCTGTATTGCCCTGTGCTGCTTTATTACTACTTACTTAAAATAATTTACACACATTATTACTACCCCCAAATGTTTACAACTTCTTCCAAATGAGACCTGTGCATCCTTTTTCACAGAATATATGGGAACATAACATTGACAATGGATTTGGACATGACTTAACAATCAAATCTTAACACTACTTGGACAATAGAAAAGCATATTTTTCTAACAAAGTATTATCTGTATTCTCAATGCATTTTTCTAACATTAACTGTTAATAACTTATGCATGAGAACTTGACTCCTATGTCTTATACCCGTTTAGTTCCTTTTAACATGTTCAGCACATCTTTATCCTGCAGTTTCAGAAATAAGGCATGCATCAGGTGAAATTGTTGCAAGATGTTCTTCAAGACTGTATGTTCAGGTTCTTTTTTGGTTCTGTCCCTTTAGGAAACCGATACATACTATAACCATCTTATGGATTCAAGATAGCTGCTTGAACTTACAGCCAATGATGTAACAAGGGCCGACTGCTGGAGCATGCAAAAATTCAGCAGTTTCGCTTATGAACACAGATGTCAAAAAAGTTTACCTTTGCTCTGCTCAGTAGCTCTGCAATTACCCTAATGGACTGAAGATTCCTCTGAGCTAGCAGAAGCTTCCTTTCTTCCAGTTTTATTTTTTCTTGAAGTTTTTTCTGTTCTTCTGCTTGCATTTTTTCAAGTTGCTTTTTGTTTCTACGCACTTCACGGTCCTTTTGTTTCTGTTCTCTTTTGCGTAACTTTTCTTCACGTTTTCTCTCTCTCTCATATTCTTCGAGTTCCTTTTGTTTCCTAAAATGAGATTTTTTTCTTCAGGTTAGTCATAGGCACAATTTTAGGTTTTTGGCAACATACATTTTAAAATTCATGTGCATTTGTGCACATGTGCGCACACGCATATGTGTATAAAATATGAAATGTTTCCCCGCTCCCCCAAAACCATCAGAACTAAGCTGATGTCAGATTCTAGAGATGGGGATAAGTAAAACCTAAATATCAAACATAGAATCAATGAAAGCAAAATAAAATATTTTACTGATGAAACCAAATATACAACAATATTATCAGCTGACTAGATAATGTATCCTTCAGAGAAAAAAATACAAAATTATAGATAATAACAAAGCCAACATTTTCAAGAACAGCTGCATAAGTAAATGGAATAGTCTTTGGAAACAGACACCTAAAAGCTTGACCCCGCGGTTGCAGAAATCCACTTTAACATAAGCACAACAGTCAACAGATCAAGATGACCCATCTTCCTAACTAGAAAAATTTCCACCAAAGTCAAGTTTTGCTTCAGTAAGGAATGCTGAAAAACAACTCTTGAAAAATTATCATCTAAATGACAAGAGATGAACACCTGTGTGTGGGGTACATTTCCCTAGTATATACAACTGTAACAGCATTTGCTATCTCCAGGTTAATGCTCCACGTTTGCCTGGTGTACCTATAATTAGGGAGGACTGGAATTTGTGCTGGAAGCGTGCTGTGCGGCAGCCTGACGTTTCCTCCCAAGCCCACCATGCCACTGACTGGCGGAGGGGCTCGGTCAGCCCTGCCGCTCGCTCCTGATGGTCAGGAGGTAAAAACTGCAGTTTTAAATTTACTGTGGTTTTTACATCCAGTCCAGACAGCAGAAAGCAATGTGGCTACCAGGGCCCCTTTGCCAATCAGCAGCAGGAAGCAAAAACCATGGCACATTTAAAACTGCAGTTTTCACCTCTCTGCTAATAAGGGGCAAGCGGCAGGGCAGACAGGGCCCCTCCACCAATCAGCTCCTTCCCCACTGTAAGCCCTGAGGCACACATGCATCCACTGCTGGCAAGAAGCTGCGCCAGGGCTCAGTGGAGCCTGATGCAGCCACCTACAGCTTCTCAACTGCCTGCCACAGGTGGCCCAGGCCCAGGCCCGTCCTTGCTGCTTGCCGTGGAGACTGCGCTGCTCACAGCAGGCAGCGTGGCAAGCAGCTGCTTGCAGGCTCTCTGCTGCAAGCATCCTGGGCTCCGTGGCCAGAAGCATGGGCTTTTTTTGTTTGTTTATTTTTTGTTGCAGTGAGCCTGTGATTTTTTGTGGAGCTTGCCATTATTTTGTATTTAAAAAAATGGGGTTTTTTTGCAGAAAATGCCTGATTTTGCACTTTCTGTGTAAATTGAATAGTGCTTTCAGTAGATCCCTACTTATAATCTAAATGAAAACCACTAGTTTCAATATTTAAACTAGCCAGCTCTAGCAAGCACATTTCCACAAAAAAAATAAAATTTAACTAAATCTTTTACTAACTACACACTCCTCAAAATAACCATGTTATTGTCATTCTGTACAGCTGTTTTTCATGAATGATGGCAACAGAACAACTGAGGCCTAGAAAAACAATGTTTTCCAGGCGATGACATTTAAACTACAATATATAATCTCATGGGCACTAAGGATTGGCTTGGCCATGGAAACTGATCTATTCTAACCCCAGAAGGCAGTCCTTCCAAGTGAGGGCTAGAGCACATTGGTGGGATGAGATGTGGGGAAACACGCATGACTGCGCTCTTCCAGAAGTAGAAGCTCTTGAGATATACCAATATTTTAATGCTACCCCCTCCCCACAATAAAATAAAAAGGGATAAAATTATGGAAAGTTAATATAAATTGATTGAATTCTGGTTGACTTTTATTACAATGATTTCAATTACTTTGTTTGTAACTTTGGTATATGTAACATACCTTAATTTCAGACCCCATTTTCGGGGGGGGGGGGGGGGGACACAAGACATCTTATACCCGGATTCTGTCAGTATTCAAGATCATAATGGACCATTAACTAATAATTCAGAACAATAAACACACATCCTCTATCATCTACTTTATAACGAAATCCCAGAAACAAGATAAAATAAGCAGGTTGCATTGCCATGGTATTGTTAACACATGACAAGAGAGTCAATTCTGGTTTGTATTGTCCTGCAAAAAGCACAAATTCACAAAAAGGTTTGGAGAAACTAAGCATATTACCCTGAGCAACATTAAGTAAGCAAAATTTTAAAATGACAGGATGCACAGGTAAGACTGACAACATTAAGCAAAGTAGTACAATGATACACTATTTTAATTTTTATTAGTTGTCCATGTTGACATTTGTATGATGAAAAGGCATTTTCAGAAATGGAAATATTTACCACTGCCCTTATCAGTATTTGTATATATTCTTTCAAATCTAATTTTAGTTTAGTCATCATTTTTATGGGAGGCTACAAGCAACAGTAATTCTGCATGGAATTTTAAGCTACTCTAGATACCAGAACAAGAGGTCATCTATCCTAAACAAAACTAAAACTGGAAAGTTAGTAAATCTCAGCTCTACATTACATTACACAAGATAAAAAGTTAAAACCTGCCAGTAGATTAAGGACTTGCAGCAATTTATATAACCCTGAGACAGAAACTGAAGTCTCTTTCTAGAAAATAAAGGTTTTATTTGAAAGTAAAAGCTGCTTTTTATTACTAAGTGGGCAGTTTACATGTGCATTAATGCGCCTTTTCTAATGTCCATTAATTTAGTACCTAATGTGCATTACAGGTTGCACTAATGCTTTTGCAAGATTTTTTTTTGGTGATGCATCATTTTACTGCGCATTAGCATAATATCACTTTTGTACGTGATGTTATGATGCACAGTAAAATAGTCTACTACAGATTAAAGCACATGTGTAGACACACACAGTTTTAGTTGCAAGTATTTTTTAGCTGGCATAATTTTAAGGCATTTGAATTTGATTTTTTTTGTGCCAGCAGTATAACTGCACTGTGTGTTTAAAAGTAAAAAAATATATATAAGATAAAAGGAGTATAGTATTGCTTGGAGAATGCTGTGGTTTCTACAAGAAGCCTGCAGAAAAAGAAGAATTGTCATTTTGAGAAGTAAATATGTGAAGCTAATAGCATATTAGTCTGTCACTTAATACCTAATATCTTTGCTAAGCTAGTTAAAACATCTGGTTATAAACTGGAGAATTTAAGTCAGTTTTAATATGAGGATCAACAGCAGTTGCTTCCCATTGAATCCTCAGCTGTTTTTCAGAGGGGCTTAACCTTTCTAGTACCCTAATTCCCATTGGCTAAAATCCCATCCTAAAGGTTTAAAACTAAGAGAGACATTTAAAACCTCCCACTAAAGGAGGACAGAATGACTACAAGGTTTTGGGGTGTACCTAAAAGTATGTCGTTAAAGCTTGGGTTACAGATACAATGGACAATCAAACAGGACAAAAAGGAGTACATTAAGAAAGAAGTGAGAACGGAACTTAATTAAATGTTCCTATTTTTTATGGGCTGAAGATATGTCAGGTCCAAAGGCAATCATTTTGAAACAAACTGATTTAGACAAGGTGAATTTTCACTTGAAGGAAATGAGAAGAACACGGTGAAGGAAATGTAATCATGCCGTATTTTGTTGTCATGTGAAATATTAAAAAGTTATTTAAGGGAGATTTACCTTTCTTCCTCCTTTTGTTTTTCCTCAGCTTCTTTTTCTTTACGCTTTTGTTCTTCTCTTTGTTTTTCAAGCTCTTGAAGCTTTTGCCGCTCAAGCTGACGTTTCTTAATTGATGCATCGCTCAAGTGTTTTGTGGAATCAAAAGATACCTTTAAAGAACAGAGTTAAGACTAGTGAGTTCTAACAGTCTGTCCAAATGTCAGTATTTTACTTCCACTATCTCCCAAAAACTAAAATCCCTGAGGCCCAAGAATTTTTTTGAGTTTACAAAACTGTTACAAGAAATGTTAGGAAAAGCATTTTTGAGGTATTTAGAAACATTGGGCCAATCCAAGAGAGGAGACTTTGAGGGGGAAGGAGATGGGGAGAAGTAGCCACATACCCCTTTGGCTAAGTGGCGTATGGACAGCAAACTTCCTGTGCTCACCAGCTTGCTGATACAGTTCCTACTGGACCTGACACTTTGAATTGGCTGTAGAGCCCAGAGAGTGAACGCTAGACACATCCCCTGCCCACCACTGAATTCTGCAGCAGTGGAAAAGGTAGGGCAAGTGGTGGTAGTACTTGAAGGGTCTGGAGTCGTGCTGAAGGCAGTCTGTCAGAAGCTGGGCTGATGAGCTGGAGAGTTCGCTATGCATGCACTAAACAACCAAAGGGGGATGCAACCACACTGTCTGTTCCCCCCTCTCCCCATAATTAACCCTTGCTTAGGGATTCATCAAGTCTATAGGACATGAGAAGTTTAGTGCATGGCTTAATTTATACTCAAACCTTTTCCCTGAAGTTGAAAAGATGTGTTTTGAAGTGTTAACTGATCAAGTTCCTTTATAAAAAAATAAGTTTATATGAAAAGTGCATGATTTTCAGATTAAACCACCCAAAAACAAGTCTTGCTTAGCCAAACTAAAAGACTTAAATAATGTGTGAACCACAGAAAAGTGACTCTGCCCTAAAACTGAACTACTTAATGCTTTCATCTTCCATGCTTAGTTATTTGTAACTTAGATGTGAATTTTAAACTTGAATTTGCAACTAGCAAAAAGACTAGACTCAATGCCCTTACATAGTCATCAGCCTCACCAATGCCAAGAAAACCATCTTTTGTCTCTAGGAACCACTGAACACAGATGTTCTTCAACATGCTTGTATCTGGAATTGTGACCCACCAAATAGCATATTGAAGCAGCTGCTCCAAAAATGTACCTAATGGGGCAGTGAAGGTTGCAAAAATAGGTAAATAAAGCAATACTTTACCCTACTGGCCAGAATTAGTTACGTGTGGACTACAAGCATGCCATACATTAGGACTGGAATTACTCTGCCTTTTACTTTTCTAGCAAAGTCTATAAATACCAGTAAGTCAAGACTTATGCAAGGTGATAACTTTACAAGTGCTGCTTGCATATGCAGCTTCATATATGATTGAGAAATGTGCAACTACACAAACTGGCTGTGTAGATATCCACTAGGCACAATTTTGTATCTATATTTTAAAGGGAAAAAATAATTCCAAGTGCTTTCCAAGTTCAAGGTTCTTCTTTGCATAAGTGTGCTTCAGAACTAGATATTTAGTCTTGCTTTGAAATCTGGCCTTAATTTTTTAAATTGTTATGAATGCACAAAATACTGAAGTCAGCAGGCTTGTTGGTATTAATCTGGGAGTGTCATCTATGCACAAATGGAAAAGGCAGAGGTCTAACAAGGCAACTGTTAATCAACACAAGGAATTGTTACATAAAACCTATCCATCATCACTCCATCTGCTTACACAAGTCACTTGCATCATTGGAAAACTAGGAATAAATAAAAAATACTTTTTATCTGATGTGTAAATTTAGCTATCAAGTCACTCTGCTGTCAACACCATAGAGCCAGAAGAGCCACACAAAGTTCAAAAAAAAATTAACCTAAAATTCCTATTTTGTTTTTCTATACCTGAAGACATTGTGACTTCCATCATGCCGAAAAGTGATTGAACCAATTCTTGGAGGAAAGGGGCACAAGTAGGGATTGAGCATGGAAGTGACAGGTGAAGGCTCCGAATCAGAATGGCCTAGACCTGAAATGCTACAGGCTGCAAGTGAGAAGGGAACAGTGAAGAAAAAAAAACATCCCTGGTCATGACCCTGCTCCCTCTGCCTTTCAGCATCTCCTTTCTGCCAGCGTGACACACGACACCGGGCAAGGTCCAGACCTACAGTCAGACCCAGTCAATGGCAATTCTTATGTTCCTGCATGATCCTGTCATATCTCTAACCTTTCCAGGTTTATAGGTGAATTACTATATAGAGCTCCTGATTTCATCCATGCAGGCCCCAAGCTAACAAGCTCGGGAGCCTTTCAAAACGATCACGTTAATATCTCCATGCAGCTCCTCACCTTTATGTTACAAGCCACTGCTTTGCCATCTTCTCCTTTGAACATCAGTTTCATCCCTCGGAGGGCATTCATGGCCTTGATGAAACCCGCGTACTCACGGTATTGCACGTAAGCCTCAAAGTTCAAGTGGCCTCCGAAGCTAAAGGTGTGGAAGTTCCTGCCGGTCATCTCTTCCCGGTAGGGGTCCAGCATGGGGATGTCCACATTGCGGATGTCCCCAAACTTCTCAAACACGTTCACCAGAACATCTTCACTCGGCTTCTCCGAGCCTGAGTCCTTGGCAGCAAACCACTTGCAGGGCAGGCCTTCCAGGTGGATGGTGTCCGGCCTCTCCCCTGGCAGCGTCTCATTCATGTCCTTGGCATCGCGGAAGAAGGAGTCCCAGTCGTGCCGGGTGGGGAAATCTATCTTGTACTCGGCTGCTCGGACTTTGAGGATGTCGGAGAAGCCACTGAGCTTGATGGTCTTGCCATCCAGGCAGGCCAGGAAAGACTTTACCAGGCTCTTGTTCTCCACCTCGCCCTCAAAGCGGATGAAATCCATGGTGCTCTTGGCGATGCGCAAGGTGGAAAACTGGTGGGCCTGCACCATGCCCTTCAGCCGCTCCATCACCTCCCAGTTGGAGATTGACTTGCCCGGCTGCTTCAGCTGGGGCAGCGCCACGCTGATTGTCATCTTCGTGATGGGCTTCAGGTACAGCCCGTGGGTGCTGCACAGCTCCACTGCCTCCGACGTGTCATGCACGATGGTGGCGGCTGCCATGGCCGCACTGGGGCAGGCACCTCAGGTGCGGAGCCAGCTGCTGGCAACAGTAGGCATGGCCCGGTCTTCTTGGTGAGGGCACACCAGGATCTGCAGAAAACGAACACTCAACTCAATCCAACACAATTTTGTGTATCGGGAAAATGGCACCACAGTTTAAATGGGAACCTCTCACCAGCGGGAAATGGCAGCACCCCATCCCAGCAACTGTACCTGAACATTTGCTAGTGCCACCGCACAAGGCGAGCTTCATTGTGGCCCTTCTCTGCAACAGGCACAGGATGGGGGGTGGCACGTGCCTCCTCCACTTGACCTTGGGCCTGCCGTTCCCCCCCCCATGAGCATTAATACCCCATGGCACCTTCCCCCAGGACGCACAGGGCTGAACGGGCTCTGGTTAGCCTTCCCTGCAGCCAGAGCAGGAGCAGGCACGGGGGAGGCAGGGCAAGTTCCTGCCTACTCTTAAGTGCAGGCAGAAGCGCGCCAGACTCACCCCACCCCCAATGACGGTTGGTGGCCGTTGGGCAAGTTCGCAGCGCGGCCCCTCCCACGACATTCCACTCACCGGCTTCGGCTGTCCCGCCGGCGCGCCTGACCCGAAAGGAAATCGCCCCCTCCCTCTCCCGCGCGCCGGTGTTCTACGGCACAGACAGTACCCCCCGCCCCCTCTCTCAGGCAAAAGCAGAAGCTTCCGCTTCCGGGCTGGCCCCCAGGATTCCACGACCGCCTCAGCTTTCCGCAAGTGCGGCCCCTCGCGGCCGGAGGGGGGACAGGAGCCGGGACGAAGAGAGCTGGGTGGCGGGGGAAAAAGGACAAAGCCCCAGTGGAGGACTTGTGCGCATGCGCCGGCGTGGTAGGAGGGAGCGGCGCCTACGGGGTGGGGTGGGGTGGGGTGGGGTGGAGGGCGAGAGAACTCACACGCGAGCCCCAGCGGAGGACTTTTGCGCGGGCACAGGATAGTGGTGTCTACAGGAGGAGGTGGGAAGAGACCCTCCCGAGCGTTTGTGCGCATGCGCGGGGACGGGGGCGCTGTTCCTACAGGAGGGGTGGGAGAGCGAAAGAACCTAGGAGAGGACTTGTGCGCATGTGCAGGGGGTGGCAGGGGGGTGATACCCAGCAGTGGTAGCCTCAGGGGTGCAGGGAGCGTGGGGGGGGGGGGGCTTTAGCTTGTAGGGCATC